GGCCCTGGGCTGAGCCAGGCTGAGGCCAGGATACTAGAACTCCATCCAGGTTTCCTATGCTGGATGCAGGTGCCCAAGGACTTGGGCCATTTTCCCTTGCTTTTCCCAGGAACATTACCAGGGAGCTGGATTGGAAGTGGAGCAGCTGGGATTTGAACCAGTGCCCATATGGGATGCTGGTGTTGCAGGCATTGACTTAACCTGTTGTGCCACAACACTGGCCCCTATCTCCTTCCTTTTCACCTGAGAGATTCTCCTTTGGAACCCAGAGCCTTCAAAGCCACCCCACTGTTAAATTTTCCTTGCCTATCTACTGGGGTACAATGGTAGAAAATAATTACAGGGAGCACTGGCATTAATTTTCATGAATTCAGTCATATACCACCTTATCCCAGTGCAATCAACAAATGACAGGTCTAATCAATCTTGCAAATAGGGGGTGGGAGGGTAGGAATGTGTGGATGATTTTAAGGGTTTCGCAATCACAAGAAGTGAAGCAGGTGACTAGGCAAGAAGATATTTATGACTGGGCCTAAACCTTAAGGAAGACATTAATTGAGAACCACAGCCCAACAAAGACTATTGAAGAGAGAGAAATTGATATACAGTTGCACTACAAACCTTTATGGACAATTTAAGAGCAATTCAAGGAGAATTTGCGATATGAGCTAACTTCATTTTACTGCCAAAGCTAACTCCCACACAAAATGCAATGCCTTATATGATACAGTGTGGTGGGAAAACTGACAGCTCGTAAGAGGAAGAGGCTGAATGAAGTCCCCCTCCTCCCACTGCCAGGTCCGTGTTATGCTTTCCCTGACTTTCAAAACATTTTTTTCTAATTATTTTTACTCATTGGAAATGTAGAGAGACATTGGTTCACTCCTCAAATGCCTGCAACAGCCAGGACTCAATATTCAGGTTTCCCATGTGGGTGGCAGGGATCCATGCACTTGAGCCATCATCTGCTGTCCCCCAGGTGTGGATCAAAAGCAGAGCAGCCAGGCCTTGAGCCAGACACCCAGATATAGGATGCATGGGATGCAGGCACCCCAAGTAGCAACTATTTAAAAAAATTTATTTTATGTATTTGAAAGAATTACATAGAGAGGTAGAGTGAGAGAGACAGAGAGGTCTTCCATCCACTGGTTCATTCCCCAGATGGCCACAACAGCCAGAGCTGAGCTGATCTGAAGCCAGGAGCCAGGTGCTTCCTCCGGGTCTCCTACGCGGGTGCAGGGGCCCAAGGACTTGGGCCATCTTCTACTGCTTTCCCAGGCCACAGCAGAGAGCTGGATCAGAAGTGAAGCAGCTGGGACTCTACTGGCACCCATATGGGCCGCGCCAGCCCCCCAAGTAGCAACTTAAGGCACCGCACTAAATGCCTGCTGCCTGCCATGCTATTTTAAATGGTTCCTCAGCTATACAAAGATAGAAACATCAAATTCCTTTGTTACTGTGTCTCTCTAATAGAAAGGTATGAGCAAGCCATACCTTATTTATTTGAAAAGCAGTTACATACACACACACACACATGCACACACACAGAGAAAGAGAGAAAGAGAGACGTACAGAAGAGAGAGCGAGAGAGAGAAAGAATGTCCATCTTGCTAGTTCACTCCTAAAGTGGCCACAGTGGCCAGGGCTAGGCCAGGACAAAACTGGGAGCCTAGAGTTCCATCCAGGTCTTCCACACGGGTGGCAGGGGCCTAAGCACTTGGGCCATCTTCCGCTGCCTTCCCCAGTGCTTTAGCAGGGAGGTGGATCAGAAATGGAGCAGCCAGGACTTTGATATGAGATTCTGGTGTCACAGGCAGCAACTTAGTCTGCTGTGCCACAGTGTGCCAGCCCCCAAAACAGTGAAAAAAGCTAGTGTACTGCGGGAAACAAGAAGGGCACCTAGCCAACCTGGGGGCTGGAGGGGGCTGGGGATGGCTTCCTGAAGGGCAGTGGAGTTGGCCAGTTAGGAGGACTAAGGAGGTCCAGGACAGAGGAACTTGTAGGAAGAGAGGCTTGAAGGCAAGCAAGGGGAGTCGTGTGGAGTTTGGTGTGGGGAGCAGGAGGGGGCATTGTCAGGTGATCAGGAAATATGTTAGAGAAGCTGGTAGGTACACACCACGAAGGGCTGTGCACATATCATGTTTGGACATTCTCCTGAGGGCAACAGGTAGCCACTGAAGACTTCTTCTTTGTTTGGTTGATTTTTGTTTGTTTTACTTTTATTTGAAAAGCTGAGAGAGAGAGAGAGAGAGAGAGAGAGAGAGAGAGAGATGTTCCATCTTCCTCTAAATGCCTACAAATAGCTAGAGATGGGCCAGGTTAAACCCAGGAGCCAGGAACTCCTGAGTCTTCCATATGAGTGGCAGGGGGACCCAAGTACTTGAGTTACCATCTGCTGCCTCCCAGGTTGCACATTAGAAGCAATGCTGGATTGGAAGGGAGGCAGCACTCAATCACAGACACTTGGATATGGGATGCTGGTGTTCCCAGTGGTGCTCCATGGTTTAACCTGCTGAGCCACAATGCTTGCACCACCACTGAAGACTTCTAGCAGGCAGGTGACAGGATAGGACTTGTCAAGTGCTGAGAAGTCCTAATCCAAATCCAAGACAGAAAGTGGGACTCCAAGGGTGCTAAAGTGAGATCTAACAGAGCTCTCCCACAGGAGGCAGCTCAAAGGCAGCCTTGGCTGGGCACCCACCCTGCTCCTTTCGTGCTGCTTCCCTGCAGGTATTCATTCCCCCTGGGCTGTCCACAAGCTTCCCAGGATCCCCAAGGCAGTCTCTCTCCCAGGATGCTGTTCCTAGAAGCTGCAACAAGCTTCCACCCCCTCAGCCTGCTCCCTGCATGCAGCTCAGGCTCCCAGTGAGGATGCAACTAGCACTTACCACGTTTGAGGCAATCAGCTGGGTCCTGCCCCAGTGGGCTCTTCCCTATAAGCAAAAGCCACATGTTCTAGCCAAGACCCTCAAGGCCTCGTTTTCTGCAAAGAAATGCTAACACAGGGACAAGCCCAAATATTAGGCTAACCTAGGCACTTAACCAGTGTGCTTGTTTTAGTTCCCTCACCTAACTTCCCTTGGCTAGAGGCAGCCCCCAGGAGTTGCTCTGGGAATTAAGGGCTAAACAGGAGTCACACATTCGCAGGTGTTCTGGCTTCATACATCACCCCATGACTAAAGCTTTATAGTAATATCTTCTTCTTTTTTTTGAAGATTTACTTACTTATTTATTTATTTCAAAAGGCAGAGTGACAGAGTAGAAGAGAGAGAGAGAGAATCTTCCATACACTGGTTCATTCCCCAAGATGCAACAGCCAGGGCTGGGCCAGATTGAAGCCAGGAACTAAAACTCCAACCTGGTCTCCCACAAGCATGGTAAGGACCCAAATATTTGGGCCATCATATGCTGCCTTCCCAGGCACATTAACAGGGAGCTGGATCAAAAGTGGAGAAGCTGGGACTTAAACTGACTCTCAGATTTGGGATGTGGGCCTTTTAACTGCTGAACCAAACACTTGCCCCAATTTTCCATGAACTTTTGGAAAAAGGCTTCCTATTCATGTATTGCAAAATGTTTTGTACTAAAATAGGTTTTCTTTTCATTTTCCACAAACTTTTGGAAGTACCCTGGTATATCTGCTTAGCTACAAAAAGGAAAATGAATATTAAAAAAAATGTTGATTAGACAAAAGTATTTGAAAAACAGGGCACTGGGGCCAGCATGTGGCGTAGTAGGTAAAGCCACTGCCTGGGATGGTCAGTGTCCCAGCTGCTCCACTTCCCATCCAGCTCCCTGCTAATGGCCTGAGGAAAGCAGTGGAAGATGATCCAAGTGCTCAGAGTGGGAGGATTAGAGAGGGACAGACCCATTGTTCCCAAATTCTCCAAATAATCTGTTGGTCTCGAGGATAACATTGGCTTCAGTTAGCAACCATGATATTTCATTGTAAAGGTCTGAACTTTATAAAATCAAAGTCTGATGAAATTTCTGCTCAAAGGGATTTTGAATAGATTCAAGACATGACTTCAATACCTCATTCTGCTTTCAAATCTGCTAAACATTGTTCTCTGGAAGAGTCTCCTCAAGTCTCTCTCTAAGAGTTCAACTGTACTACCAACCCTGTGATCTTAAAAAAGGTAAGGGACAATTTGGTTAGCCATAAGAAGATTAAGAGATAGTCCAGCTTGAAGAAGGAGAGCAAGATCTCCAGGTAACCCTGAATCAAAAATTTACTTTTTAAAAAAAAAATTTATTTACTTATTTGAGAGGCAGAGTTACAGACAGAGGAGGAGAGAGAGAGAGAGAGAGACAGAAAGAGAGAGAGAGAAAGAGAGAGAGAGAGAGAGAGAAAGGTCTTCTGTCTGCTGGTTCACTCCCAAAATGACTGGAATGGCCAGACTGGGATTATCCAAAACCAGGAGCCAGGAGATTCTTCCAGGTCTCCCATGTGTGTGCAGGGACTCAAGCACTTGGACCATCTTCTGCTGCTTTCCCAGGCCATCAGCAGTGAGTTGGATTGGGAAGTGGAGCAGCCAGGACTCCAACCGAGCCCATATGGGATGCCAGCGCAGCAGGTGGAGGCTTAACCTGCTAGGCCACAGCGCCAGCCCCCAAACTTATCTTTCAATTCCATTTTCCACGAACTTTTTGAAGTACCTTCACTTCAAGATGGAGAAGAAAGGAAAAAGTCTAGTCGTAGGGCCGAAATTTGTGAAAGGAAAAAGAGCATTTGTAGAGCTGGCGCTTGCAAGCCAGAGACCCTCTGCCTAGGTCCCTCTGCCTAGCCTGGGACAGGTCTTTCGACATGATAAAGAAATTGAGGCACTCAGACTTTTATGGGAAGCTCGGGTCCCTTCAAAGAAGCTTTGGAGACTAGAAGCCTGAAGAGGAAGAAGCCACGCCCACCAACTCTACCCCTCCCCGGTGGCCCCGCCTCCAACACCGCCACTTCCGCCCGAGAGCAGAGCGCCCGCGCGCTTCCGCCGCGCCTGCGCAGGGAGGGCGGGCCGGCGCGCCGGCGCAGTGCGCCCGTCACAGCCTGGCTGCTGCAGTAGGATCCTCGCTTCCCTGAGTGTTGGCCAGGGAGAAAGGAAGATGGTGCTGGATCTGGATTTGTTTCGGGTGGATAAAGGGGGGGATCCAGCCCTCATCCGAGAGACGCAGGAGAAGCGTTTCAAGGACCCGGGACTAGTGGACCAGCTGGTGAAAGCAGACAGCGAGTGGAGACGATGTAAGTACTGGGATGCGCGGGGGTATCCCCCGTGATCCTTAGCCGGACTGTATCTCTCGGATCCAGTCACCGCTCATGAGACCACGGCTTCTACTTCTCGTCACACCCCTCCCAGGCTGCAGCGGCTGCGAGACTCCTCGGAGTCCCCGAAACACAGCCTGGGAGCCGGGACCCCACTTTCCCCTCCGCCCGTCCGGACGCGGTCCTTTCCGCGCGTGCTCAGTGCGGGTCGCGGCTGGTGCGGCTGGGATGGAGCGCAGCGCATGCGCGTCGCGAGCTGTCAAGCCTTCCTGCCCCGCGGCGTCAGTAGAAAGCGGAGGCTGGAGGCTTGGCGGCGGGAGTCGGGGTTGGGGGCGCCTTCCTAACGCTTACCTTTGGTCCCTCCGCCCTTCGTGTTCAGCGAGGCCAGCGTGGTCTTCCTCGGTTTTGAGAGGACCAAAGGCCTCTGTCCAAGACCGAGTCACCTGCAGCACCATAGGTTCCCTCCACCTAGCTAGAAAGGGGACTCTGGAAGCCGCTCCTGGCTAAAAGCAGTGATCCCAGAGCTTTGCGGAAGGCCAGTCCCCTGTCGGGTGGGCCTGTCTTTTAGGAGGAGAAAATACTTTTTCCGAGATAGAACAGACAGGAAGGTGAGGCAGCAGCATGCTTGTAAATAATAAGGTCGCTTGTGATTTGTGGGAGCTTCTGGAAAGGACATTGGCAGAGTTGGATTAGAATCTGGGCCTGATCCGGGCATTTTCCATGAAGCTAAATAAAACCACAGAACCTTCTGCCTGTCAGTCTCTGCCTAGATTAACTGGCGTGGTCACTGATTGGCCAGATGCTGTCACATGTGATTCATTTTGTCTGATGCAATACGTCTGCAACCAGCTGAAAGCCAGGTTTATGACGGCACGCTGCAAAGGCAGTTGCTATCCAAGAGTGTGATGGGTTTCTACTGGGAAAATTGATTTTTCTGAGTGTGTCACAGTCTTGGGTGGCAAAAAAGCATTCGTTTAAATTGAATTGTTTGCTGATTCTGTCAGAGGGTACTTCAGAAAGTTCATGGGAAAAGAAATTCAAAGATAAGTTTATTTTGCTGCAATTTTTTTTAATCCATGCATAAAAGGATTTCTTTAAAACTTCATGGAAAAAATGCATACTATGAAGAAACTGCCTGGGTTTCAGGTTTTTTTGGGGGAATCAAAACAAACTTAATTCAATTTTTCTATGAACTTTTTGAAGTAACTCCATATGTCTCAGGCACTGTAATGTGATTGGTTCTGCGATTCCACACTTGAATCTAAACTTTGAGTTACAATAGAATTGAAATTTGCCACAATTTTTTGTTTAGAATAAAAATAGACTGAGCATTAGTCTACTGAATCAGAATCTGGAGTATCAGATTTTGTATTAATCCAGCCATTAGCCAGTTGCTAAATGAATTATGAGTTAGTTAGGTGGTCTCCTGTGTATAATGTATACATCTTTGTTATTTAGTGACATGTCAAAGGACAAAATGACCACAGATTAACTTAAAGATTTTAACTGCTTTTAATTTGCAGTTCTAGAATCAGCAGCTCCTTATTCTATAAAATAGAATATGTGTTCCAGTGAGCTGAACAGAAGAGGCTGGCTTTAGAGAGAAGGTAGGAAGAATGCAGAAACAGAAAAGTGGATTAGACATTTAGAGTTACTTTCCTTGTAAAGGGACAGGGACATAGAAACATAACCTATTGGTTAACATCCAATTACTTCAGGTGACATCTTGAAAGAATTAAAGGGTGAAAAGGTGAAAGCTGAAGGAATTTAAGTGTCATGCCATTGAAAGTGGCCTGTTAGCAGAGAACAACTCTGTTCCAGTAAGATGATGTGGAGTCTTAGCGTGGGTGACTCCAGTTTGGTTTTTAGACTGGTGTCTTGGGGTCTAGTGCAAGAGCCTAGTCCAAAAAAGTGGTTTCCTGTATTTTATTTAACACATTTGTATGAACACACATACACATAATATAATTACACGCCGGCGCCGCGGCTCATTAGGCTAATCCTCCGCCTGCGGTGCCGGCACCTCGGGTTCTAGTCCCAGTTGGGGCGCCAGATTCTGTCCCGGTTGCCCCTCTTCCAGTCCAGCTCTCTGCTGTGGCCTGGGAGTGCAGTGGAGGATGACTCAAGTGCTTGGGTCCTGCACCCGCATACGAGACCGGGAGAAGCACCTGGCTCCCAGCTTCGGATCAGCACAGTGCACCAGCCACGGTGCACCAGCTGTGGCGGCCACTGGGGGGTGGACCAACGGCAAAAAGGAAACCCACCGCCAAAGGAAGACTTTTCTTTCTTTTTTTTTTTTTCTTTCGTGTCTACTCCGCCTCAAAAAAAAAAAAAAAAAAGAAAGATTATAACCCCAATGTCTAACACTGTGCCTGGTTCTTGGTAAACGTTTGATAAAGGTTTGTGGATCTGTTTAGGGCCTTTTTACGCTATCTGTGAAAGACAGTGTATGTGGTTTGTTTTCTTTTTATTTATTTATTTATTTATTTTTTTTTTGACAGGCAGAGTGGACAGTGAGAGAGAGAGACAGAGAGAAAGTTCTTCCTTTGCCATTGGTTGGTTCACCCTCCAATGGCTGTGCTGCGGCCGGCGTACCACGCTGATCCAAAGCCAGGAGCCAGGTGCTTCTCCTGGTCTCCCATGGGGTGCAGGGCCCAAGCACTTGGGCCATCCTCCACTGCACTCCCAGGCCACAGCAGAGAGCTGGCCTGGAAGAGGGGCAACCGGGACAGAATCCGGCGCCCCAACCGGGACTAGAACCTGGTGTGCCGGCGCCGCTAGGTGGAGGATTAGCCTATTGAGCCGCGGTGCCGGCAATTTATTTATTTTCAATTGAATGGCAGACAGAGAGACACTTCCCACATGCCCACAAAAGTCAGGGCCTGAGGGAGGGAGTCTGGAACTCAGTCTGGTTCTCCCACTTGGGTTACAGGGACCCAAGTATTTGAACCTTCACCTGCTGTCTTCCAGGCTATGCCTTAGCAAGAATTTGAAGCAGAGCCAGGACACAAACCCAAGTGCTCTGATTTGGAATGCAAGTGTCCCAAGCAGTGCCTTAACCACTATGCCAGATGCCCACCCCACAGTCTATTGTCGGTACATCTAATTGATTGATTTCTACCTGGCAACCCTTCCAATATTTCTTTACATTCAAAGCAAATTCATTATTTCTTTTTAAAGATTTATTTATTGGGGGCTGGCGCTTCAGCATTGGGAGTAAAGCTGCCACCTGCAGTGCCAGCATACCATTTGGGCTCTGGTTCAAGTCCCAGCTGCTCCACTTGCGATCCAGCTCTCTGTTATGGCCTGGGAAAACAGTAGAAGATGGTCCAAGTTCTTGGGCCCTTGCACCCGCCTGGGAGACCCAGAAAAAGCTCCAGGCTCCTGACTTCTGATCGGCGCAGCTCCAGCTGTTGTGGCCAATTGGGGAGTGAGCCAGCGGATGGAAGATCTCTCTCTCTGCCTCTCCTTCTCTCTGTGTAGCTCTGACTTTCAAATAAATAAATAAATAAATATTTATTTGAAAGTCAGAGTTACAGAGAGGCAGAGGCAGAGAGAGAGGGCGACCATCCGTTGGCTGACTCTCTAACCGATTGCAAACGTCTGGATCTAGCTGCGATAGTGGTACGTCAGGAGGTCGCTTGCTATGTCTGGGCCAGGCGGGTGCGTGCCCGCGCGCAAGTGAATTGATCATTTTCCGTATGTTCTCGGCGGTAAATAAGAGAGAGCTCGATCGTGGGGCAGTCTGCCGTAGATTCCTCGTGCCTCAATTCGGCTGGCAACGCAGGAGGGAGTATCATTGACTTGCATGAAAGCGCGCGCCGGCCCTAAATAAAAACCTATATATAAAATGACTACATTTTATCTGCTTATGCATCTGAACTATAGCTAGGAATGTGCTGCTAGGAGGCAAAATCAAAGTCCTCCATGGGGCGGGTTGATTTTTAGCCTGTGT